TACTTCCGATACATATTTCGCATCATCGAGTGCTGCAGAACTAGTCGATCTCCGAGCTGCTCTTATTGAACAGCTTTCACGAGCATGATTCATCTTCTCTGACGCCAAGGCACCTCTTCAATGCCGTATGTCGCAATTCAGTTATGAAGCTATTTAGCAGTTAACTTCAACGCAAAGTCATCTTGGTCATCACGTACACTTGGTCATCAAGTACTTGGTCATCAAGTACTTGGTTCCTTGGTCATCACTTGGTCATCAAGTCACTTGGTCATCAAGTACAATACTTGATGACCACCACGCGGTGGAGCAGTGCGTAACAGTGGATACAGGGCTCTTGCAGTATATACGGTAACTACAGTTCCTGATCTGCGCATGCAACGACACCAGAACCGACGCAGCCGCGTGTGGTCATTCGCTCGCCCTTGAACTCTGCCTTGCACAGTGGAACTCGGTGGAGTTCGCCAACGCTCGTCTGCCCATTTTGTGTCCCAATCTCCAGCTCTGTCTTCCTTCGGGAATATCTCGAACTGCGCTTTTGTGCCACCGGTAGCTTGGCGTGGCCTGCACAGATACCTACCCTTTTCGGTTTGGAATGGCTCAGGACCCTACATGTGATAACGGCAATATTTTTTAATGTTTTGCTCATATAAGCTAATTGTTTTTGCGCTTGTTCAAGAAGCTCCTTGTGTGTTGCGTGTTAAATCGAACCAAATCGAACAGGATATGCAAAGAAAGTTACCCACCGGGATCTCGAGGGTGACATTTTTAGACAGCGTGCACGCTATATAGATGCATGGTGCCAGCTCTGCTCCGCAGCGATCGACGTATAGTACGTGGTACCTGATGGGCAACTTGAAACCCGCGGTTCTTGTTCGAGAAAGTTCAACTGGATCCCGTGAAGCTTTGTTCGGTCAGTGAAGGAAGTAACAGGAAAGAAAGGAAAGGCATGGATGTTAGCCAGTCTAAAAGAATTGATTTGTGACCCTACACAGGGAAAATGGGCGGAGGAGTATTAAAGATGGAGAAAGAGGGAGTGAGGAGAAAGCACGCACATGAAGTCGCACTTCACTGTCACCATAGTACAACAGTAAGTTCATAATCGCTGATGCAAGTCTGTTGCCTTCAGGGAGTTCAGCACCGCCTTCGTCGCCTTCAACCGCGATGTCCTCTCAGGTCGCCATTTCAGAATTGTTTCTGCCGTCAACAGTCTCTGATCTATGCCCGCTAGAGGGACTGCTAGAGATGTTCCCTGTGTATTGTAGCGAGGAAAGTCGCAGATGTGCTCTAATGCTTCCTCGCTACCACAGTTGTTGCAAAAAGTGTTGTCAGCCATTCCAATCAGAAAGGAGAATGACTTCGTGAAGGTCACTCTCAGCCATAAACGGCAAAACGGAGCGGCGTCATTTCGGTGTAGTTCAGTAAGTGTCTGAAGACCGAAGTGTTCGGGCAGTGCACGGTGTTGGTTGCGCAGTCTACTTGCTGTATTCCTATTGGAGAAAGTGACTTGTGCAGCATCGTTCCTCGATAGAAGTATTGTCTCGACCATGTCCCTTCGAAGACCTTCAAGCGGCAATGTCAGCATGTTCGTTGCCTATCACGCCGCAGTGACTTCGAAGCCCCTGAAACGTCACGTGGTGTCTTTTCTCGAACGTAGTATGGAGAGATGCCTAACCTAAAAGACCAACTGCTCGCTTGCATGGTCCATGGCGCAGGGCTGACAACAAAAGATTGCAGAGCTGCCTTCGAATTGCTGAAATGAACCATTGTTGAGGCTGTTCGCGGTTTACTACCTAAAAAGCCGCGCGAAGAGCAGCAAGTCCTGCAGTTGTCAATGTCTTTGGGTGGTTTGTCTTGAAACTGACGGTAATAGCCTTCGCTGGGACTACCACTGCCCCGGACGAACACTGGATAGTAGGTGATCTGTCGGTATATATATGCGTGTGTTCAGCGTACTTCTCGTGAAGGAGAATGAGAGAACTGCTTCAGTACTAGTGATGAGAGCTCATATTTCTTTTGTTTTCTGATTACCGGTACATTAAAGTGCACATCAGGTCGAATGTAGCACCAAGGGGGTAAAGCTGATGGTGCTGAAACCTGATGGAAGATGTGCTGCGCAGTTTGAGAGGACAAGTGCGCCAGTATGCTAACACATATAATAGGCCTCACCTTGCTACAACTAGTCATTTCAGCCGCGCCTTTTCTTAAAGTGTTAGCGCTTCGGAGCTCCTTCCTGATTTTTCCGCCATCGTGTTAGCAGTGTGGTCTGAAAATCCGGTTTGACTTGTTAATCAACGGCGAATTAATTATGTAAGAATCAGGATGGAGTCAAGTAACTCAAGTGTGAATCAGCGTACACTAAAGCGAATCAAAAGTAATTGAACATGCAATAAAGTAAATCAAGATGGAATAAACGAACAGCAACGTGAATGAAGTTCCTCAAAAGCTAATCAAATGAATGAAGAGTTCCTCGCAGAGTGCAGCGTCTAGCATATGACTTGTCGATTCGTAACCGGACACCTTCTTAACGCTCAGTTAAAGTGTCAGAGAAGATTTTCACATGATCCTCTTAGTTTTGGCTAAAGAAAGCCGCGGTGTCGTTTCGGTAGAGCGCCTTCTGTGTAAAATGGGCTGCCGTCATATCGGTCGCGTGACGCAGCATCAACCAAACTGCATTGCTATACGCACGAAAAACAGTTGGTCGAAATCCCGCAATGCAGTTACGCCTCATATCTCCCTTCGTGACTTGTTCGCCACCGCGTCACGTTAACCTTGCATGCAGATGGTGTATGACGTCCCGGCATGCCTAGCTGTATGTTTAAAGATCCCGCGAGCGCTCGAGCATTCGGGGTTCTTTATTCTATGAGAACGCTGAACGAATGATAATTGAAAACCGTGACAACGTCAGAACTGGGTCTCAAACACGAGGTCCGCGGACCTCTCGCTAGTGAGTTGGCCCGCACATGACTGTCTTGGTCCCAAATGTTCTTTTCATTGTAGTTATGACTTCTACAGACTTGTCTGGTCCAAAGCTTTTTTTTTTCGTGAGGCAGGCCCCCCACGGGGTGACTTAGCGTTCAGACATGGCCGTGGAACAAAAACTATGTATTTCAGTACCGGCGTCCACACCATAGTCATTCGGGAGGTCGATAACGACATGTTTCTCGAATACTGACGTCAAATATCTGTCAGATATGGCCCAGAAATGCCCAGAATTCATTCCCATACAAGGGATGTGGGAACGTATTCCTTCGGATAGCAACGTCATCAGACATCTCGTGAAAGCTACCTCTTCCCACTTGCTCCAACCTTCTTCCATGTCCTCTCCCTTTCGGGACTAAATTTTATGACTGTGACCTGCTAGCTGAGTTGAGGCCCCCAATGCAAGACAGCCATGACACAGTGTTTCGCGTAAAGAAACCGGACCTATGACCTCACAAGTGATTCGGAAAGCCTGAGGTATGCAGTGAGAATGCCCATAGTCTACCGCTATAATGAGCCACCGCTTAAGCTTCTTTCACCGTGCAAACGCTGCTTGAGATTCGTGCACACACTTTTAGGGGCGAAGCTCCTATAAAGCCGTGGGTCTGTCCCTCCTAGCTCGCACGTGACCGCTCAGTTCAGTGGCTCACTCAGTAGGTGCAAACAAACGGACGGACGGACGGACACAAAGACGAACGGATGTGCGGACAGCCAGACGGACGATTCACGGTTTACGTATAAAACCCTCCGAAGCTCCCCCCCCCCCCCCTCATCATCATTCACTGCGTGGATATGCCGTGATTTTTTTTTTTCCGTCAGCCGTCGACCACTCGCAACAATCTCTTCCGGTCTGCTTTTCGTGGTGGTCATTCATGCGTGTCTGGAAACCACGAGCCCGGCACGAATACGACTGAGGGTCACGGAAGTCTTCGGCAGCTTAATAAAGAACGCAGCGACAGAAAAAATGAAACGCGAAGAAAGAAAAAAAATAACGGTTAGCGCTTCCTAAAGCAGAGAAGATTATCTCGGATCATCGCCGCTCATGGCATCCGCTTCCGCATGTAAATGCCGGAACTTTCTTCCTTCCGGGCAGTGCGGCAGAGGTATGGAAAAAAGAAACAATGGTACGACTAACTTGAACGTCTTCCTCAATAGAGCCAGTTTTTTTTTTTCTTGTGTAAACGTTTCTGACTTGTACAATCCCGCACACTTCAGCGAGCACACTGTCTTTTTCTCTCCCAAATATCTTCGTCTCTCTCACTTTCATATTTCTATTCCCTTTCCCTGACCCACAGTGTAAGGTATGGTAAGCTTTTGTGGTTGACTGCCTTACTCTTTTCTTCCTCGCCCCGTCAGTCTCACCCTTGGTCTCCTCATCACTCTTTTGCACCTTCTTTGACTTCCCATTTTGTTGTGGTTGGTTAATTCCGAACTATGTGGCTGTGATAAATGTCGACACATTACGTCAGCGCATGTGAAAGGGGATGTGGAGGAGGCGTGCAGAAATACATACAACCTTTCGTCAGCGCCCTAACCGTTAATGTTTTCGTTTGGACAGCAAGCTTTTGACGACCCCCCGCGCGTTATGAGTGAGGGAGTGAATGAATGAATAAGTGAGTGAGTGAGTGAGTGAGTGAGTGAGTTAGAGTTTTCTGGATCTCTCCACTAAGGCGGGCTTCCAATTAAATCATTGTTTGACCACGCACTAACTCCATATGTTGGAGAGTTTCAGCGCCGACGTCCCCAAGAGGCTTGCGTAGCTAGGACTTAGCATTTTTGTACTCTATTTGGGCGCAGTAGGCGGACAGAAGAAGTGATGACCTTGTGCATAACCTGTGTTGACGCCGCCGACATCGGTGGTCAAATTTCGTGTTTTACGAAACATATAAAGCTTTCGCTTGAAAAAAAAAAAAAGCTTTCGGAGTTCAGCACCCACGTTTACGATCGTGTGCTTTATAGCAGCGCAAAATATCCCCGAAGTAGAGCTGTAATGAGTCATTTCATTTTTTTTTATCTCGTTACAGGTTGTGCTTTGACTTCACCGACCACACAAGAACGTGTCAGACTTGGCTACAAGAAATTGGGTCATGGCTCGAATTGTTGTGGTAAGTGTTCCTACGCCACTTCATTGATGATGATGATGATGATGATGATGATGATGGTGGTGGTGGTGGTGGTGGTGGTGGTGGTGGTGGTGGTGGTGGTGGTGGTGGTGGTGGTGGTGGTGGCGGCGGCGGCGGCGGCGGCGATGATGATTACGATGATGATTACGATGATGATTACAATGATGATGATGATGATGATGATGATGATGATTTCGGAAGAATCGCACTACCCACCACGAGGGATTGGCCACGAGGCGTGCGGCAGTATATTTTTTTTTGTAAAACAAAAGTAAAATAAAATCAAATTTATTATAAAAATGGAGAAAATTAGAAAAAGGAGAGGGGAGAATATGCGAAAAAAGATAATCTTAATAGGGACAAAACTATTCGTGATAATATTTGTATCTTTCAATGCAATGCTGCTTACAGGTAAAAATATGAACAAATTAATTGATATAATTATCCTGAAAGAATATATGAACCATATTGTTTTAGATGCCCTGCTAGATTTAACGTGGCATTCTCTTTGATTCTTTTAAATAATTACATATAGCCTCGTAAATGATCCTGTCACAGTGCCCTAGTGCCGACGACCCCGGTGAGAGCAATGCCGATGTAGAAAGCTCAAAGCCCTTTTTTTTGAAAAGGCGGTTTTAGAGACCTTTGCTTTAGGTACCGAAATTTTCGACACTCCAAGAAGAAGTCTTCGATCGTTTCTGCTGATAGTACGGAAAACACGCCTTTCTTCTCCTCTTTCTCTCTCTCTCTCTTCTTTTTAAGGGCGAAGCTGTGTAGCAAGTCAGTTCGTCCGGCGAACCAGGAAACTTGGTCGGGTATGCGCGCCACATGAATTGAGAAGCCCCGCTACCGCGTAAAAACGAAATCAAATTTCTGTGAGAGGAGAAACTCCGTCGGTCGTATGAAAATTAGCGATCATCATGAGTGCAATGACTCGTGTCTTGTTCTCGTTCGCCTATTGCTCGTGGGGGCTTACCCACTGTGAGGGATAGGCCAAGAATTAAGTGGTTTTGTAAAATAATGTGCGGTTTCAGAATAATGAAGGTTGTATAATAGAAAGAGTACAGATGACCCAGAAAATTGAGGTGCTTAATCTAAAGAATACAATTATTTAAATTAATACAATAAAATTAGAACAATTATCTTATTTTTTATACGTACATTATGTTGTAGACACAACAACTCGTCCGGCACGCACTCTTTCCGCCCTCCCCTTCATCTTCTGCTTAGCTCTCAGAACGAGTGCGCCATTTTGCTCGGTGTGGCATGCAATAATTCGGATGGGCGATAGAACGAATACAAAGAAAGAGCGGAAGAAAGAGAGAAGCAGTTACTTGGTGCTTATCTCCTGAATGTAGGCTTTTACCTCGAATGGGTGGTTGCTCCTGCCTTCTGGTTCAACTTCATCGCCGTAACAATCATCATTGTTACGATCGTTGTCCACCTATTCGTGATGATGTGACGCGGGCGAGTTATATTCCTAGCATTCGGGACTTGGGCCACCCGGCCCTGCGCGCCTCGCCTCTGCGGCTGCCCTTTGCACGGCGACTTAGAACACAGCTTCGCCTTAGAAGTCATGGCCTGGCAATACGCGTGTATCATTCTGGTGATTGCGTGTCTCGTCACGATCTTGTCTTCTCTGCCCCCCGTCAAGGATGAGGCCGCCGTGCAAGCCATTTTCGGCAGAGGCGACGGCGGAAACAGCTCGCGACTGCCACCCCTGTTCGCCCACCGCGGTGCTGCGCGCTACGCGCCGGAATACACCCTGGGCGCCATACAGGCGGCGCGCGAGAAAAAGGCCGACGGCATCGAGCTAGACCTGTCCTTCACGCGCGACAACGTCGGAGTCCTCTTCTACGACGACAGCCTCGAGCGCACGACGAGCGGCGATGGAGTCCTGGCGCACACGTCTTTCGCGGACCTGCGACAGCTGGACGCCGCCACGAAGAACCCGTACGCCAAGAACTGCCGCGGCTGCGCTCACGTTCCAACGCTCGAAGAAGGCATCCAGGAGTGCCTTCGCCAAGGCCTGCGGTTCATCGTCCACGTCAAAAGGTACGACGACCGCGCCGTGACGCTGCTTGCCGTACTGTTCAGCCAGCGACCCGAACTGTACAGCCAAGGGCTCGTCTCCTCGCCCAACCCGTTTTTCATTTACGCCCTGAGGCTTCAAAACCCTGACATCGTTACGGCGCTGACCTGGCGACCCGGGTTACTGGCCTACAAGGACGCTAGAAAGTTGCGTCCTCGCTACGACACGAACGTGACGCATTACGAGGCGGTCTTCGCCGACTGGATTTTCGAACAGGCTCTCAACTGGGGCCTGCTTCATTACGTGACCGGTGCCTCCGCCGTGCTTGTGTGGAAGGATAACCTGAACGTCGACAGCGTGCGCATGTGGCGTGACCGCGGCGTGCACGTGATCGCCTGGACGCCGAACAAGCGTTTAGAGCAGGACTACTTCCGACGCGTTCTACGAGTGCCCATCGTGACGGACTCGCTGGGGCGAGGAGGTAGGCGTAAGGCGATAGCTACGGCTTCTTCTTGGTGGCCCGGCTCTCATCCGTTGTCGGCGATCTGGACCCGAACCATCCCAGACCAGTACCAATGCGTGGCATGAAAATTATTTTGATTCTAACGTATCTAAATCTGCACGTTCTACTGACAAGACTCTATGGCAACTCAACGCGCCGTGCGCCGCTCAGTTCTGTACATATATACTAATAATAGGCTTACGTGCGTTGTAGGTATGAAGGTGATGTTTCACGCCCACTTCACGAATGTCTCACACCGGTCGTTTAAGAAAGACGGAGCCGACGAAATTGCGTTATATCCACATCCATAAATGCATAGCGCTTCGTAATACACCGTGCAGTCGAGTTTTCCTGTGTGACTGCAGCGCCAGAACGCACTGCAATATTCTGTTCCTAGGGCGTGCTTAAAACGCTATAATGTATGAAATATTTCCGAACTTGCTATGCACCCCCTACGTGGCCTTTAAGGGGGCAGTAGCGTGTGTGCCTTTTGTAGAGGGTGACTTACTTTCAACTATCAAGCCACTATGACAATTCCGTGCTCTGACGCCCGGTGGCAATGTACGCTTGTACGACGCATTACGGCAATAGTTCATGGCGTATTGTGAAGTATGTATACAGGACGTGTGTGTTTTGTAAAACATGAAAGTTCTTTTCACTGCATTTCCAAGCTATTTTCACTGTATTCACAAGCAGAGGCATGGCTGTATGGTAGAACACCCGCTTGCCACGCAAATGACCTTGCTTCGATCTCCACTCGGACCCTGTATTTTTATTATTTATTTAATTTGCATTTTTTTAATTTTTTGGTCCCGCAAAGTTGATTTTTCGCTCACGACCAACGACGCCGACACCACCACCAACGCCGGAATTTCTGTGAAACGAGCTCTTTAACGCTTTAACGCCATTTAAGCGTTGCACGTGTGTGGTGCAGGGGGGGGGGGGTGATTTTTGAAAGAGGGAAAAGAAAAAAGTGAGCCCCTTAGCTGTCTCTCAGGGGGAGGATACCTCAACAGTAGCTCATGAAGGACGGGGTAAGGACGGATTAAAAGGATAGGGAGGAATTAAAGGTATAAAGACAGAGAGATGCGCAGGGACAGAAAGACCTCATGCGGAAATAAGGAGAAGATAGGAAAGATGGACACGGTCGCAGGAGACCGAGGACGGGGCACCACTCAGCAAGTGCTCTTGACGGCGTCAGGAGATGGAGTAAGGCGAGCCAGTCGGCCAGAACTGCGCTGTCGTCGGAGATCGCGGGGGCACAACCGGCCGGCACGAAATCTAGCGAGCGAGTCATGAGGGATGCAGAGAAAAGTCTTTTTTACTATATTTACTTGTGTTTCCTTGCACATTTTTGTTTTACTTTCTCTTTCTCTCTCGACGAGAGTTGTGTACATACTGTATGAATAATTGAGTCTTCGTGATGGGTCCGTGCCGAAGAGACGTCTTGACTCTGTGTCGTAGTCCTTTACAGCAAGTTTTTTTTTCTTTTTTTTTGCCTCCCTGCTATTCCGCTACAACAAGCAGTGGGCGTAGACGGTGACGTCTCTCTCTCCCTCGCCTGCCACGCGATCGCCGCGTGTCGGCTCTTTCTCGCTTCACCTTCTCCACCACTCGCTACGCTCGAGCCCACTCCTCACGAGGCACTGTCTCGTGCTCCCGACCGGGTCGCAGAAATTAGGTGCCTTTTCTCATCTTCTAACCACTACCACCAACACGTGGGCATCATCTCACCCGCGCCACTCACGCCATCTGTCGGCGAGAAAAAGCCTCGAGCCGGCGGGTGCGCGCGCCTCGCGGCGTCGACCATGTGGACCACCTTTCCTTCCTCGTGCCGCCGGCAGCCGATCGCGGAGGCCACGCCTTCCTCCGTGATGTGGCAGTGCGCCGCTGCTTGCCGCGCGATCGCGCCGACGGGCGGGACGCAGTCGCGGCATGCTTCCCGCTAGTGCGCGCGCGCCTTTCCCGGCTGTTGCCGGCGTTGCGAGGGTTAGCGAAGCCGATCGCGGTCTCAAATGGCGACGCCAACACCGACGAGGCGCGAGCCAGGGAAGCCGAACGCAAGCGTTGAAGACCAGCAAGACCGACGAGGTGCGACCGACGAAGCAGTGGAAGACCAGCAAGACCGACGAGGTGTGAGTCAAGAACACCGATCGCGTTCGAGAATACAGACGGCGCGCTGGTAAAACCGACGAGACACGAGCCAAGGAATACGAGTGCAAGCGTCTTCAACGCGTCCCACATCCCGTGTCTTTGCTTTTCAAACGGACGTTTACTCGAGTAAACGCTACACCGAGTTTCGCTTCAAACAGTTCTTCCAGCACCCGCGTCGACGGCCGTTTCAGCCGGGTGAACGCCGTGCGCACTGCTGCTGCTTCGCATCTCTCAGGGTTCCCTGCAGCGAAATGGTCCATACTTTTTTCGACACTGCCCAACATGATCGGCAAGACGACATGAGTGCATTATTTTCATGAAAACCGCATTGTGTTACATTCCCACAATTTCACATTAGTGTGCCTGTATATAATTCGACTCTCTGGTTTGTATTTCTGCACTGTATATTCTTGCCGTCTTTGTATTTTTTTTTCTTCTTTAGCATTGTATCTTAATAAATAAAATAAATATTAAATAATTAAATCGGCATTGCCTGTAGCAGCCAGCCTATAGCAGCCAGTTATCATGAACACATTCTCGTGTAGCAGTCCTTATACTTTAGGAAAAATGGTGGCAACGTGCATGAGAGACGCAAGGCTGAGTCACAGCGGGGCCGGTGGTATTCTATAGTAGTTACTCATTGGCTGCATCTTACAATTAGAAGTGTCTAAATTAAAAGTAGTAGGAGTAATTAAATAGCACTATTAGGCCACATGAAGCTCAAGTCTTAGGCGGGTCTGGTTCGATTGTGCACACACAGCTTAATAAGTATTTGTCTTAATAAGCAGTACTCATTAGGCCTAATTGTGATAAATAACGTTTGAATTAGTAATTGGTATCTTCCCTAGCTTGACTTTTTTTTAGCACCACTGGTAATCAGATTTGGATTGCCCACTTGCTGCGGCTCATTGGCGATGATATTTGCTTGGTGGCGCGAACCGGCATAAGGAAAGCATTACTGATTCTCCATTAGAATACCACATGGATACCCATATTGATATATGTGTATGTATATCCACATTTATACCAACATAGATATTCACATGGATACGAATGTCCATGTGGATAGCCATATGGATATCTTTATGAATATCAATATGGCTGTCGATATGGATATGGATATCCATATCGACAACGGAGCGCCAACGGAGACTGAATATGGCTCAACCCTAAATAGCTTCGCCTCTAAGAAAAGAAGAAAAAACATAAGCGGTGTCGCGTTTCAATCCTCGAGTAACGTACCTTTCCTTCCTTTTTTATCTCTCACGGTGCCATGCGTGCGAATCACGTGACATGTGTGGTGTGACGTGCAGATGGCCGCAGTTTGCTGTCTGGTGGGCGTGGCCATTATGCTGCTCGTTGAGCAGCCCACGGGGGTGTCGGCCGTCAAATTGACCTACGTGGGCAACAGTACCGCCTGCGACATATGCGATGAGGACGTGGACTTCTCCGGTCGCAACTTCATCTGCTGCCTAACGAAGAGCAAATGCTGCGGGTGAGTGCACCGCTCTCAGGTAACTTATCCGCAACCCAGGCTATATGTGTTAATTATTCTATGCGACTTTACGAAGGCTGCTATAGTGTCGCCGAAGAACTTCGTGGTGGGCTATGTCAAGATTTAAGAGCCTTAATGCAGCTCCCTTAATTAATGCCATGTATTTTCAGTTGGCGTCAAAATTCTGTTGGCCAAGAGTTTCGAAGCCGAGACAGGTTACATAACGTCATTGTTTACAGGCAGCTCGCCCGTAAAGCTCGCAAGTGCAGCATATTTTTATTATGGTGCCATGTATACATTTGAAATCGTGAAGAAACGGACATGGGTTGGGCACTTAGTGCGTATAGGCAGGATAATCTCTTATTATTACGGGTATACCTGCCTAGTTTCCAAGAGAACGCAAACACGCGAGGGGGAGACAGATAGATAACTGGGCAGATGAGGCTGGAAAGTTTTCAGGTATAACGTGGCAGCAGAAAGCACAGGACCGGGTTGATAGGTGCAATATGGGAGAGGCCTTTGCCCTGCAGGGGTCGCAGTCAGGCTGATGATGATGATTGCGAGGCATCCATTTGCATTACCGAGAAGGATATGAAGGGCTTCAAATCTTACAGCATTTTTGTAAGTGGCGCCCGTGCCGAATCGTTTTTATGATGGCGACTTTTGCAATAAGGGCACTTCAAGTTTTCTTTTTTTCTGTCCCTTTTCATCAACTTGATTAGAATTTCCACAAAGCATCACTCTTTTATGTTACTAGCTATCCGTGCCAAGCATTGTGTGTGCGCGCATTCAAGTGATAGAAACCATCGCGCTTAGTGCCACGAGACGCCATGCCAGAAAGGAACAGACAACACAGGCTTATATATAAGCTGCGCGGACGCACTGTCACAACCACTAATGCAAGTTTAAAACAGAAAAGAAAATTCAAGCAAAGTGCGAAAGAAAATTGAAATAAGTATTGTACAGCGAAATGGAAGTGCCGCTTCCGCACTCCTTACCTGATTTCCGGGTAAAAAAAAAATGAGCTTCGACGTTTCTTTTTTTTTTTTTTGCCTACTTCCTAGTATTGCTTGCTTTCGACTCGTGTCCTGTCTCGTTGTGCTAATCGCGATGGTTCCTATGTACAAACGTGAATTCGTCGAACAGTCGATCAACTCCTTTAATTGCATTAAATGGTTCGACCCTCTTTGTTTTTCCTCGCAGGCCCGACAGCCTCGACAGGAAAAGGCGGAGCTTGTGAGATGACGTCGGCAAACCACTCCAGACGCACCTGCGCAGAAAAAGAAAAACAGTACACCCTGCTTGGCCACATGCAGACATTGAGTGGTTATTGAACTATACACGAATTCCTACACACAGTACTCGGACCAAAAGCAGTGAAAAGCAAAAAAAAAAGTAACGAGTGTTTAACAAACATTGTACAGCTAAACAGTGAAGTATGATTTTGAAAGCATCTTCACATCTTTTTTTTCTATTTCTTATTCACAAATGGTAGAAAAGAGACCGGGTCCACGCGTTTTCACGGCTAAGTGCGTTTGAGCTCTTTCTGGTGTCGTGCATATAGCGTTGGCCTGTTCTTACGATCCTATAGCTAGTGATTATATTGCGTTTAGTATTACGGTGACTGCGTAGCAGGAAGCCAACAAAGCAACAATATCGCGCAATTTACCAACACGCTAATAGTGTTAATGCTAAGAGAGAGGGAGGGTACACATCTTTGCGGAAAGTATGAAAACAGTTGGTGATTCGGACCATGCACGTTTAGTTTTATTTTTATAGTTTTGTCATTGCAACACTGAACGCGATACAATCGTTAACGTCTACCAACAACCCCAGTTTTTTTTTTTTTTTGCTTTTATAAATGTGTAAACGGGGTGAAAAGTAAGAAGCCGATATGGGCTCGTAGTTTTGCATTGATATACGTGTGCCGCTGAATGGCGTGCTACGCACGCGAAGAATTCGTTGCGGTTCGTTTCTTTTTGCACGTTATTTTTTTCTTCTTGTCATGCAGCTTTTTTTTTTTTTCTTAGATGCAACTAACACATCTTTAGTAGCTACCCCGAACATTTTTACATCATATTCGCTCCGTGCTAGCCACAAATAAAGATTCTTGTAAACGAAGAATGTGCCTTGTTAAGGCTGTTTTCTCTAACAGAGGAGTCGGCGATAACTACCAGTAGCCGTGACTATGCAACGCGTCGTTGCTACGCGTCCCTTGCGATTCGGTGGGTTTATAAATAACAGATGGGCAATTTCGTAAGCGCCTTAAAAGGACCCTGAAATGGTTTTTTGAAGCTTTGTCAACGTTTCGCCAAAAGCACCATCAAATCGTTCGCACCACATACTTGGTGACAGCAGTGTACCAATTAAGGCCGCTAAGGACCATTATACCATACCCTCCTTTTCACCTCTGCCTGGTCTCCTCAACTCATGAGGCACGCTGGTATCGCAGGCGATCGGAGAGCTGTTATGAGCGCGCTCGACCTATTTGAGGTTTTACCAGTCTAGACCTCCGAAATGGCACGCCAACAGGTTGCGCGCAGTCTCGGAGGCCATAAAATAGTGCGCCCGGCAGCGCGCACGCCGTCTGGCAACAACGACAAAAATTACGGAGTGGTTCATATCTGCTTTGACAGGTAGCGCCACCCTACCAGCCGATCTTCCACACATTTCCGCCCATGATCAGCAGCTACGGTGGCGTGGCTGCTAACGTGCTCTGGCCTCATCAAGTAGCCAGAGCATGTCGCTTTGTGAATGGGTGGTTCAAAAAGCGTTTGGCCAAGTCGCAACAATCTGCACCAATCTGCAGTGATTCGGAGCTTTGAAGCGCTGTAACAAATTAACATGGTTTACACAGAGAGCTCAAATCTGTCACTGAATAACCCTTGGGACTTGGTCTATACCGGCCCAATGTGTTTGTGCAGAATCGCCAAACCATTTCAGGGTTCGTTTATTAAACACTGAGGTGGCGACCTTAGGTCTAAGCGTCTGCCGCACTCGTAGCATCCATCCATTAAAAAAAAAATAGCTGTGGCTTAGCTCAGCCAGGCCCGCTTATGCAAACGAAAGTTTGTTATACTCTGTTGCTGAGCCGGGTTTGGCGTGTTTTGCATTGTTTTGAAACTACAAGTTCTGTATTGTTTTTATTGTTTATTCGAATTAGGTTTTATGGTAGCTTCAGACGCCGTCACCGAAGTCGAACGAGACGCGTCTCCTTTGTCACCCCTGAACTTCGACCACATCGTACCCGTTGCATCAGCGTGTGGCTTCATGACGCAGCGCCATTTTCTCTCCCAATGGAGAGGGAACGAGCGGCACAACGCCGACTAAATCGAGTTCCCTCTCCAAAACACGCTGACGCGGGGGGACGTGTACGTGTGGTCAGGCCTTTAGCGAGCGAATCGACACGCACAGGATGGTCAGACGCGACTTGCCGTTTTCGCAGTTGCGAACGTGACACAACTTCGCCACAGATGGACCAGCGTATCCATTTTCTCCTTCCATGGCACAAAGACCATGACACAAAGACTGAACAGAAGCAATTGAAGCGCTGTCTGAAGTGGCAAAGTGAACGGTGAGTCACGAGGTTAGTCAAGTGGACACCACTGGCAGGCTGCGGGGGTGAGTCTTGCAGCGGTAGTCATTCGAACCCTACTGAAACGTTCCGTATGCGATGTCCAATGATTCCGTATGTTTCCGTAAGAATCTTACGTAAATATATGGAAAATATATAGGAAACATATGTATTCTTTATGGAAACATATGGAATTATTGGACTCGCATACAGAACGTTTCAGTAGGGTAATGCAGCGCTGCGACTAAATTTCACGCTCGCGCTGTTTTTCGTGTTGTTAGCCACGATGAATCTGCATGAATTCGCCCAGTTTTCAGTTTTACTAAATTTTACCCGCTCGTCCTTCACTTGAAGGCCACGCGGAGGTAGCAAAACTCGTCCACCTATATAAGCCAGTAAAGCTTTCACTTTTAAATGGCTCTGCGGCGAGCGCATGCCACACCTGACCGTAACTCCGCATTTTCCGCCTATGCTCGCACAGAGAAAAATCGCGACCGGGATAAAGGGCAGACGTGACGCGCGTCGCGTTTCCCTCTTATCTAGTCTGGTTGTGGCGACCGTAGCCCAAGCTCCACGTCCAATCAGCGATGTTCTTCTGGTTCTCACGTCGCTTTGTCTGATTACGCTAGCAACGTATTTTAAGTGTGAATACACTTAATAAGCGACCCCAAACCATCCACCGCCGTCGGCGGCGTCCGCAGTCTTCTCTCTATCTTTAAAAGAAAGAGGACTTGGCGGGCCGCAGCGCGACGCTCTACCGAATAAGCCACGGACGGTGGCGGTGGTAGTGGTTACAATGAAGAGGAAAAAGGCACCTAATTTCTGTCTGCCTTCAGGCGACACGGCGCAGTGCCTTATAGGGGTGGGGGGAAGGAGGGATAAAAAGAATAGAAGGAAAATAGATGGAGAAGAAGCCAGCCAAGCGAGAGAAAAAAGAAGGAGATAGGAAAGTGGGGATCCGGTCGAAGCAGTCCAAGGGCGGGGCACCACAATGCGAGAGCTGCACGGCTTCAGGAGACCGCGGAGGGCGAACCGTCGGCGGGAGCTACGCTGAAGTCGGAGATCGCGAGGGCACAACCGTCCAGCTTGAAATCCTGCGAGCGAATCCCCACGGTGGTGGTTGTGGTGGTAGTGGTTAGAAGATGAGAAAAGGCACCTAATTTCTGCAACCCGGTCGGGAGCACGGCGCAGTGCCTGCGGGGAAGGGAAAAGGGAGAAAAGTGGAAAGAAGAGGAAAGATTAATTGAGCAGTGGAACGGTCGTCATCAACAGAAGCAGCAGTCCAGAAGCAAGGGTAGGGGTGGCAAGGGCCCCATCCTCAGCGGTAGGCCACGGACGCGACGCTGATATCGGTGTCAGTAACGCGCCTTATACCCCCTCCCCCTTCGCTCGCTCCTCCGCTCTCCTCGCTCGCTGCAGCTGCGCGCGCACCCCTCTCTCTCGCGCGCCCGCCTTCTCTCTCAGTCTCCCGTCGAGAGCGGGTCGTGAGGGGGGGGGGGGGGGAGGGAGTTAAAATCCGTTGGCATTCGCCAGTGAGTTAACGTAAACTCCCCCGTGTGATCAAATTGCGATTCCCAGGAACCATTACACCATAAAGGCACCATAGTGTGATTAATAAATATAATAGTGCGAATTAATAAATACCCCTCCTAGCATCACCCCGTGTATTCGCACTTAACCATGTTCACCCTCGGGGAAATGCTTGGGAGTTTTTTTTTTTAATTATTTGTCATGGTAGCCGTCGGGTTGGAAATACGCCACCAAGAGCCGACGTGGGTGCAGCCATGTAGCTGCCATGAGGTTGTGCTAGCTCACTTATATAAAAGTACATTAAACATTCAGCTACACTTATGTATAATGACACGCTTTACTTTCGTGTTATACCGATTCTTGTGACGCAGGGTTCAATCGTGTTTCTGGGAGCATTGTTTTGGGTAACTGAATTTAATTCATCTATACCCTATTAATAGCCGTTAAAAAAATGGCCGCGTGTCTTCGTGATGCGCTGCAAATATCGTCGAAAGACGATCAGTCTTCTGCCGGCCCCTTCGCAGGACCCTTTTCTTTATTCCAGTGTTTTTAGATGCAAAACAGCTCTTCGACTGACCTGTGTAACGCTGTCCCTCCATGTGTCCGTACAAACGTACCGCGAGGTGCTCCCCTCACCGCACATCTTGGTAAGACCATGGCAATGAAGCCGTGCAAAGCTATAACCGTGCTAACTAGACCTTACTACTGCGATGAATATTAGGAGGATGCTAATAAGCATTACATTAAATAGCTCGATACTAATGATGATTTTTGCTAATTGCACCCCAGATAGTTATTGCCGTTTTGATTGAACAAGACAACACTGTTCAGTGTTATGTTCAGTATTTCCTAGGTAATTAAAGTATTCAAAATTAAGATAGAGTGATGCGGCATTCACTTCGAAGCAGACCAATCAGATGATAAGACGACGGAATTGAAAAGCTATAGAAGAAGCTAGATTATCATTAGCTCCTCTAGGGCAGTGCAAGATTACCAAATTATTGCATAAGCAAAGAAGCTGCTGCACAGTGTACACCGTACCAAACGCTTATTGACAGTCACACAGGCACCATGACAGTCATAAGTTGAATTGGGGCCTTCTCAGAATCAACGAGTTTGTATCCGAGTTCACGCGCCAATCAGTTTGACTGACACAAGCCCGCGGCGAAAATTGGGTCCGACCACCACTTATGCTCCAAGCAGCCGTGCTCGCGCCGTAACGCCAGTGAGCGACATGATTCATCTATCAGCTTTATCACGCAATCTATGCACACACGCACGCAGAAGTAAAAGTTATATCATCCCATGGCTACTCCCTATCGCATTCAATTTCACCAGGCTCACGACAGACGCGTCGCCGCCTAGATGAATGAGTGGATGGATGTATCCGGCTGTGCCCTTTCGAATGGACGGTGGCTCACGCCACCTAGCCATAAAGTTGAGTAATAATGTTATGCGTTTAAGGATTGAATTTCACACGCGTCTTGATTGTAGCCACCGATCAGTTAGCCTTCTCCTCGTTATTTTTACCAGTTTAAAGTCCATTTTGCCTTCACTGTCTCTAAACCCCAAAATTCCTCACTGTCAGTCGCGACCGCCACCACACGGCGATTGCTCAAAACTGAAGGCCGACCGACTTCACTGAGCGCACAAGCCACTTCGTCAGGCATCTTATTAAAGGAGGCAATGCCTCGTCAAGGCTGGCGCGTATGTGCAGACTACCTACTCAGATAAGCCCAAGAATAACTGAGCGTAAGTGACTTTTGAAAGGGGAAAAGGAAAGAATAAGCGCAGTTCCGTTACTACCTCTCTCTCAATGGATGGCACCTTCACAGTTATCTGCGCAGGGGATGGGGGTAAGGAGGGCTTAAAAAGGATAGGGAGTAATTAAAGGTATAGCGATAGAGAGAGGCGCAGGAACAGCCACACACGGAAGCAAGGAGAAGATAGGAAAGACGGACATGGTCGCAGAAGTCCGAGGACGGGGCACCACTCAGCAAGAGCTCTTGTCGGCGTCAGGAGATGATGTAGGGTGAGCCAGTCGGCCAGAGCTGCGCTGTCGTCAGAGATAGCGGGGGCACAACCGGTCGGCACGAAATCCAACGAGCGAGTCCTGAGTAGTAGTAGCACGGCCACTGGATGAAAGAGCGCACCATGCGCTTTTTCATCCAGCGGCCGGGGTGGTAGTAGTAGTAGTAGTAGTAGTAGTAGTAGTAGTAGTAGTAGTAGTAGTAGTAGTAGTAGTAGTAGTAGTAGTAGTGATTCTTGAAGGAAAAAAGAGCAAATTTCTGTCTGCCTAATTAGAGACACGGCTAAGCTCCTTCTATAGGTAAAAGCAGGAGATGACAAGAATAGTAGAAAGAGAAAATAAGGAAGACAGAGAACTCGCAGTCGCACATGAACGAAGAGGAGAGAAAAGACAGGAAAGGTGGGTGGATGACACGGTGCGCTGAAAGTTGCCGAAGTGCGCTGGGACATGTGTTGCTTTTGTGTTGCAATGTGTTGAAATACCACGAATGCGCTCCGTGTTGCCGGAGCCCTGAGCGTTATAAATACATACGACTGTGAATTTGCGCCAAATGACCATTCACCGAACACCCACAGAAACAAACGTAAAAGCACCAAATACTGTTGCTCCCGAGATCGGACGCCTTTTAATAATGCAGCCGCTAAGGGGCTCGTTTAGGTGGCACTGCCAAATTAGTGGAAAGTGGACTTGGCTTCAACCTCTCTTTCATCAAACAAGGAAAACTCATTGAACAGGCACCACCAGCATTGATGTACGCAGAGGATGTATGTGCTAATGGCCGACAACAAGGAATATTTGCAGAGATTAATGTACATCTGCGATAATGAGGGAGATAGGTTGGATTTCATATTCAGTAAGAAAAAATCAGCAGTCATGATTTTTAATGATAATAAAGGTAGTGAGCTTAGGATACAGGAGGTCACGCTAGAGATAAGAGATAAATACAAATATCTCTGGGCGTATGGATAAGCAATGGGACCGAGTACCTAAGGGAACACGAAATATACGTGACGACTAAAGGTAACAGGAGTGCAGCAGTGATGAAAAGTAGGGCACTGTGGAATTACAATAGGTATGATGTTGTGAGAGGAATATGAAAAGGGGTCATGGTTCCTGGCCTGACGTTCGGCAATGCGGTCGTGTGCATGAAATCAGAAGTTCAAGCAAGATTAGAAATTAAGCAACGTGTAATAGGTAGGCTTGCTTTAGGAGCTCACTGGAATACACCAAATCAGGGAGTACAAGGTCATATGGGATGGACATCATTCGAGGGCAGGGAAGCTAGCAGCAAGATAAAATTTGAGAAGCGATTGGGAGAAATGGGGCAGGAGCGTTGAACTAAAAAGGTTAAAATTTCAGCTGCTTGTACATGAGGAATGTCGATACAAAATGGAGGAAGCGAACCAGACAATTGTCGGGTAAGTACTTAGAAAAGAGCAGGGGGCCAACCAAAAGAACTATTGGTTAAGAAGAAGGTGAAGGAAACGGCGACCGATATGTGGAGAATCGGCATGATTAAGAAGTCCGCACTAGAGATCTATCGAACTTTTAAGCAGGAAATTGCCAAGGAAAGGATTTATGATAGTACTCGGGGTAGTTTTTTACTGTTTGAGGCCAGGACGGGAGTATTGCGAACCGAGACTTATCGGGCCAAATACGAGAGAGAGAGAGAGAGAGAGAGAGAGAAAGAGAGAGAGCTTCAGGAAAGGAAAAGACGCAAATTCTGCAGCCCTAATTGGGAGCACGGCTCAGCGCCTGTAGGGAGGTGGGGATGGAAGAGGACAATAAAGATGTGAAGAAGAAAGAAGAAGAAGAGAAATGGCATCCGTGACCGAGGACATTCGATCAGTTGTTTTATTTATTTATTTATTTATTTATTTATTCAAAATACCGTATAGACCCAACAGGGCATTGTGTAAGGGGAGCATAAAATAAATACATACACGAATTCGTACAATTTTCATACAAACAATAACATCAACTAATTGTCAATTATTATACAAGTCCTAACAGGAATAACAATGAGAAAATATTATTAATAATTTTAATAGGAATAGAATGGCAATGAGCATCAGATGAGTATACGCGTGAGATAATGACGTAAAACAAGATTTAAAAAAACAAGCACAAATTGTGAAAAGACTTTCCATTATTCAAAATAAAACATCACTGAATAAAACACAACGGAACTGAATGGCATGTTAGTATTCAAACAATCAAACAAAATAGGTTTACAGTAAGAGAAAAAAATGACTTTTTTGTATGTATAGACTTTTTTGTGTGTGTTTATTATGTTATCATTTTCAAGTTTTTTTTTCATTTAGAAATTCAGTACCTTTAAATTATTACCTATATTACTTAATGAATTCAACCCTTCTTTTCAAGAAGTGAATCAACTTAAAAAGCAAGGCACCGTCCCATTCATGGCCTATCCCCCTAGGGTGGGTTGCCCCAAGTTGTTGAGGAACCAACCAACCAACCAACGTGGCAGGCGGCTTCTTGTCTAGTCCAGTGTCCTCAAAAAAGCGAAGAACCACCTTGAAGACCTGAGTGTGGTGCCGTGCAGGAAAGAGAAGGTCCCTCTGTGTAGCCGTGGGCAGACAGTGGTGACGGAGTGCGGCGAGTAAGGCGCCGTGCTCTGTGTGAAGCGCTGGGATAACACACAACAGGTGCTCGATGGTTTTATCTGCCCGCACGCAGTGCACGCCGGGGACGAGGCTCTGCCAAGCCGATGACGCCGGGCCGCAGGCCAGGAGCAGCCGATGCGTAAGCGAAGTAGCAGGGGCCTCTCCCTCCTGGTGAAACCCCGGTAAAGCAGCCGGGCTGATAGTTCCATCCTTGCTACCAACGATCGTCAGAGTGGCAGCGTAGCAACAGCCTCCTCAATGTGAGCCTCGAGATCTGAGGCGGCCACGGTACGGCACACAGGGACGGCGGAGTGATGTGATTCTTTCGTCAGGGCGTCAGCCTGCTCGTTTCCCTGGATTCCCACATGAAATGAGACCCAGTGCAGAGAAACATCGACGCCACTTGCAAGGAGCACATGCAGTTTGGTGACGAGCACCTGGGTTGCGAAGCCTGGCCGTTCCGGCTTTGCCAAGGCCAGCAACGCAGCTCTTGAGTCGCACGCGAAAGGCTGGACACGGAATGCAGTGCGTGTGGAGAGGAGGAAGAAACTGCCAAACACCTGATAATGTGCTGCAAAGGGCTTCACCCTGTAGTTCAGGATGATGGCGCAGAGTTTTTGGAAGCACTGGGGCTTAGGTGAAGTTCCTGGGACAGGGAGGGCAAAATAGACTTTAAGCGGATGGAATTAACTAGAAGGAGGTTGTTTGATTGGTGGCTAAAATCAAGGCATGAGTGAAAATCAAATCCTTCACTACAGAGTACCAGTCCTCAACTTCACTATTTAAAGGGGAAAAAAAAACCGATATATCTAATTGTTGTTTCACCAAATACTACGGCTAGGTGGCGCTAGCCGCCACCCAATCTAAAGAGTACAGCCATATCAATCCATTTATTTATTCATCCATATCCAGCTTCGCTTAAAGTTCTTTCGGGAACGTCGAACATCCCTCTATTGTTGTATCGATTGCGGTGCATTTGTGCATGGCGTTGAACTTGTGTACTCTTTGAGCCTTAAAATCTTCAACAATGAAGATAGAAGAAGTTAAGAGTAACACGAAGACTCAGCGTATCGCAGCCCACAGTCATGTCAAAGGACTCGGGATTGACGAAAATGGCATGGCAATTCCTGTTGCCTGCGGCTTGGTCGGCCAGGAACAAGCGCGGGAGGTGAGCTGCCGTCGCGTGGTCTCGACACGCCGCAACGCGCACATCATCGCATCTTGCAGAAATGCAGTGTTTTCGACCCTCAAGCACGTTTTGACGCATATATTGCACAATCGCCCCCTCACAATAACGTTGCATGCCTTCCGCGTTGTGTTTCTACTTAATCAAGTTGTGGTAAACCCATCCCAACTACTACTACTAAATGTAAACGCACGAGTTTTGACGGGTTTTACTATCGACTCACTGTGTTAAAGTGCCAGTGGTGATCCGTTCTGCCGTCACGTGTGAGATTTTCAGCGCGTGTATCGCGTTGTCGGTTACGTTCAAGACTGTATTACTGTATGTGCGTGGCAGCGTTTCTAGTTAAGAGCTGCACCCGTGCTCGTTTGTGGGCTAATCGAAAACTCGTGGCTTTCGGTGGGTCTAGAGGTCCAAAATGCCAGTTGACCCATTTTACGTGTATGTGCTTTTTTACTGTCGCGATTTGCTTATCGGCTGTGATTGAAATGTAGTCGTTGCAATCATTGTGCTCGGTTTGATGGCACTAGTTTTGTCAGCTGCCGCATTTTTCGTCGAACAGGCGGCGGGAATCGTTGTGGAGATGATAAAGTCTAAGAAGATGGCTGGCAGGGCCGTTCTTCTGGCAGGACCTCCAGGCACTGGAAAGGTGAGGTTTTTTAAAACGTATATAGTACTGCAAGACTTACAAGCATAGGTCGACACTTTGAGAGACTACTCACTCACCACAATTTTTTCAGCCTTCACTCTCACTCATGTTCAAACTCACTTCTACTCACACTGAAAGTACTCACTCACGTTCATACTCACTCCTACTCACACTCATGAGTACTCACTCACGTTCAAACTTACGCCAACTCACACTCTAGGCCCTCACTCACGTTCATACGACTACTCACACTGATGAGTACTCACTCATTTCATACTCACGACTACTGACACTTGTGAGTACTCACTCACGTTCATACTCATACCAGCTAGCACTCATAGGCCCTCACTCACGTTCATACTCACGACTACTCACAATGATGAGTACTCACTTATGTTCATACTCACGCCATCTCACAGTCACTCACGTTCATACTCACGACTACTCACACTCTTAGAGAAACACGGACTGCTGGGAGAATTGGTAATTCATTTTAACTGAGGTGCGCGAAAAATTGAAGTGCAAAAGGAAGACACCTCGAGACAGAGTGCCCTGTCCAGGTGTCTGTCTCCTTTTTGTACTTCAAATTTTCGTGCACCTCAATTAAGACTCATAGTTACTCACTCACCTTCATACTCACACCTGCTCAAGATCATAGGCCCTCACTCACCTCCGCACTCAGATAAGAATTCACCTTCATACTTACGCCTACCTATACTCAGGCGCACTCACTCACGTACCTTTACATTCACATAATCATAAGCAGGACAAAGGCCTCTCCCCTGTTCCGCCAATCAACTGGGTCCTTTGCTTGCTGTTGCCATTTCATACCCGCAAACTTCCTAATCTCATCTGCCCACCAAACTTTGTCTCGCCTTTTTCCGGCTTTCTTTCTCTTGGAATCTACAAAATAACCGGCAGAAAACGAAAGTAATCAACAACGACCTCGAAAGAAAACAGCTCTTCGAGATAGGTGGCAGTGTACTTGAAGTTGGAAAAGGTATATACGTCTACTTAGGACAGGTAGTACCTGCGGAGCTGAGCCACAAAACTGAAGTAACTAGAAGAATATAAGAGTGGGGTGGAGAAGATTGGGAAAGGATTCTCAGCTCATGGCTGGTAGATTGTCACTATCCCCTCAAGACGAAGGTATATAACAGCTGCATCTTGCCGGTACTTACCTACTGAGCAGAAACCTGGAGGCTTACAAAGAGGGTTCAGCTTAAATTGAGGACGACACAGAGAGCGATGGAAAAGAAAATAGTAGTTCTAACCTGAAGAGTCAAGAAGAGAGCAGAGTGGATCAGGGAACAAACCGGGGTTAAGGATATCGAAGTTGAAATCAAGAAGAAGAAATGGACATGGGCCGGGCATGTAGCGCGTAGGCAGGATAACAGCTGGTCATTAAGCATAACTGACTGGATTTCCAGAGAAAGCAAACTGGTTAGGTGGAGACAGTAAGTTAGGTGGGCAGATTAGATTAGGAAGTTCGCGGGTACATAAATGGCAGAAGCAAACACAGGACCGAGCTTAGTGGCGGATCATGGGAGAGGCCTTTGTCCTGCAGTGGACATTGTCAGGCCGATGATGAATAATAACATTGAGGTACCGTTACGTGTACTAAGGTTACTCAAGAAACAATCGAGCTGAACAATTGTCGCTTTCTTTAAGGGTCGGTAGGCTCTACAAACAGGCAATGACTCAGCGCAATTACGATGCACCTGTACATTCATTTGTGTGCCATGATGCGTAGGAGACGCTGAGACATCGTTTAGAATCTCAGTAATGTGTTACAAGCACTCAAAACGCGCTTTCGTAGGCTACGACGCATGCGCGCGAAATAGAGACGCTCTCGACAGCTTCAGTATATTACACGGCCGCCGCTATGATTACCCGCCAGAACCCAAGACGTTGCCATGCCATCCGGCTCGGCCGCTTCGTTCGTTCCACTGCCCATAGCCCCTTCTGACTGCACTAGTGGGACAGGCGGGCCTCGGCGCCGCGGCCACTGGTAGGTGTCCTGTGGCCCGGCGCGACCGTCGAGATGGCGCCTCCCCTCTCTGCCTAGCCTTTAGATGGAATGCGTTGCGTACGGCAGTTTTGCATTCGAGAAATTGTGCGCATCTTCAGAGATGTTTTCCTTCCTCTGTGGGTCGCGTTCACGTGGAGACTTCGTTGGCTCCGTGCCGGCACTGACGATTGCAGGGGGCCTTATTTATGGATCTGCAGACGCGGTTAACGTTCATTGGCAGTATGTGTATGCAGGGTTATCGCGGACAGCCTAATGAAATGGTAATTAAATAGTTGCGTTATGTGTGTTTTTGTACTAGCCCGCGTTATGTGCATTATAGAATTAATTATCAAGGGTGATTGGGCACTTATTGCACATTGTGTCTGCACTGCTGAAGGCATAATAAGCCGTCGAAAAGTAAAGCGATTGTATAGGTTGAAACGGCGATGCGAACAAGGTCCAATTACGCTATCGCATACTATACTATTGATGGCGAAACTCAACCATCCTCCAAGCTTTCATTTTTTTTTTTTTCTTGATGGGGCACTGAGAAGGCGAAGTTTGCACACAGCTTCCTGCTTGAGAAATCATGAGATCACTTAAGATTTTCGTTCAAGGCAACCTTCACTTGAAGGACAAGGCAGAGATAGAAACTGCAAAATCACTGCGCACACAATGTGCGTTGGGCACACAATGTGCTTTCTCTCGCGAGCCATTTCGGCGTTTTCTTTTCTTTCTTTTTTTTTTTTTTTTGCCGTTTGCGCAGTGCATTTCTTTTTTCTGAACCGGCTCGCGCGGCGATTTTTGTTAAAGGGCTTCTCAAGACCTTGTTGTTTTATATGTATTATCAGCGTGTTGCGTAGACTGAAGGCACAAGAGGTAAGTGCAGCAAGAACGGTAGCTATAGGGACAGGCACTTTGAAAGTTATTCAGCCTAGAAAATTCAAATTACAATAAAATGGACGGCTACCCTCAACTCGATTTGCTGTGCGGTCACCTCGCCCCCCCCCATCTGTTGTAGGATGGCTCCCCCAGTTTCCAAACTAACTGAAGGCTTTTACGTACAGGAAGCTTGCATGCCATAGTGTCCGTTATTTCCAACGTATTGAGGACGCCGTTGCGATGGTTCTAAATATTCATCACACTCATAGTAACTAACTCATGTTCCTACTCGTTGCTGCTCACACTCACAGCAATTCACTCACCTTCGCAGTCAAGTCTACTCACACTCATGAGTACTCACCCACGTTCGTACTTACTCCTACTCACATTCATGAGCTTTCACTCACTGCTAATCACACTCATGAATACTCGCTCACGTTCAAACTAACGAATACTCACACTCATCAGTACTCACTCATGTTCAAACTCACTTCTACTCACACTCATGAGTACTCACTCACGTTCAAACTAACGAATACTCACACTCATCAGTACTCACTCACGTTCAAACTCACTTCTACTCACACTCATGAGTACTCACTCACGTTAATACTCTCTCCTTCTCACACTCAGTGTACTCCCTCACGTTCATACTCACTCCTACTCACACTCACAAGCTCTCACTCATTCCTACTCACACTGATGAATACTCACTCACGTTCATACTCACGGATACTCACCCTGATGACTACTCACTCACGTTCAAATTCACATCTACTCACACTCATGAGTACTCACTCACGTTCAAATTCACTCATACTCACACTCAAAGTACTCACTCACATTCATACTCACTCTTACTCATACTAACAATACTCACTCACGTTCATACTCAATTCTACTCACACTCAGAGTACTCACTCACATTCATACTCACTTATACTCACACTCAGAGTAGTCACTCATGTTCATACTCACTCCTATTCACACTCAGAATACTCATTCACGTTCATACTCACACTCATGAGCACCCACTCACGTTCATACTCACTTCTACTCACACTGAAAGTACTCATTCACGTCCATACTCACTCTTACTCACACTCACCATGTTCAAATGAGTATGAATGAGTGTGAGTGAGTGTACTCATGAGTGAGTATGCCGAGCTATGCTTACGAGAGGCGAAGTTTGCGTGTGTTCACGCCTTTAGTCGAAGGAGCACGTTCGAAAGTCCACACTTGCACACTTGGACATCAAAGTTCTCCAGATGAGGTCGTGTACCTGCACCATTTATGTGAAAGTAATGTGCGAGGTTGTTTTTATGGAGTCGCGCACTAATTTCCAATACCAGTCTTATGACATAAGTGGCTGTGCTCCACTGGGACATAGAAAAATACAAAATTACACAAATTCAGGTGCTCTGTATTGTCGTATATTTTCGAATTATAGCTCCACTAGTTCCCGTTACAGGCACCCAAAGTGGCATGTAGCGAGTAGTTCACATGACAATGTGCTTAATTTACAGTCATCTATACTCAGCAACTGTTTGTCAAACTTGAATATTCCTCAGAATTTAAATAGTGGTGTTCTTGTGATACACAGCAATCTGGCCATGTTAGGGGCTCTGCACGTCTTGTCTAGGATACCACGTTTTGACAATAATATGACAGTGGGAGTTGCATGAAATGTTCTGTATTTTAAATGTTATTTAGACATTGTTTTTTAAGCTAGCATCAATAAACTTAGGATGCGATTTGCACTGTTGACATTTACAATGCTGTCGCATATCAGCAGTCGCATATCGGCTGTAACATATCATCATAAGCAAGCTTTGACAAGGTTATTATGTGTTTTGTAGCTACTCAAGCAACTGCTTGTGCATTTGTTTCAGTTGTGAGGCAACAAAAGAATAGTTCAAAAACCGTGTAGCCCCAGTAAGGCTAATTCTTGTTGCATGTCACTCTATCAAGTGATTTCCCGGGAGTCTGGCTTTTGTGGAATGGTGTGCGTTGCTTTCACTGATCACCTCAATATACTGTTGCCCGCCTGAAATTATTCACGCGAAGACAACTCGACCGGCTTGTCCTGCGGCCTTTTTCTGCGGAGAGGGGAATGTTGCTCATATGAAAGTAGACAATGAAGACCACGGCGAGCGTGCTTGCCACTTCAGGTTAGAAGGGAAAAAGAGGATCAAGTGGATCTTTAACTAGTCCGGCACTCCTGAGCTCCCCCTCAAGATGTAATAAACGGCCACTCTCAGCCTTTGATGGTCTGCCTCAAGCGTAACAATACATTCCGTTCCCGATGTGTTAACGTTTACCTAGCATGGATTCCTCATGGTGCCAAGTCACTCTTCCCAACAAAGAGCCTAGTAAAAATTCTAACTAGCGACCTAATGTGATATCTCTCACATTTGATGCACATTCTACATTAGAAGATCCTTGCGGCCTTCTTAAGTGACATGTTTGCTTCTTAATAGGCAGATTCCAGCAATTTAGCTTTAATAAATTTTAGTCTGCAGAGATTCACTCGCCGTGGTAGCTTGCCAGGTAAGGTGTTTCTCTGCTAAGTTCAAGGATGTGGGAGGGATTCCCTGTTGCAGCTGCCAAAGTTTGATAAGGGAATGCAAGAACGTAAACTTATTTCCACGTTAAAAAACCTCAGGTGGTCAGAATCAGTCTGGAGTTTCCCATTACGGGTGCCTTACAAACAGTTTGTGGCTTCGGAACAAGTTACAACCAGAAATTATTTCTTCAGATAATGATGCTTAAAGAAATAAATCAAGATTGGAAAAAAAAAGCTTTGCGAGCTAATGAATAGCACAAATGTAACTTGTATTGTGTGTAAGTATGCTAGCTCCTAATAAAGATAACTTCTCGACGTCCAGATGTCCGATTCTTCAATGCTGTGCGTTTAAGCATGCATGAGCAGATGAATAAGCATGCCTGAATGAGTTTCGGACACTTATTACTGTTGTTTTCAGACCGCCATTGCCCTTGCAATATCCCAAGAGCTGGGAAACAAAGTGCCATTCTGTCCTATGGTTGGCAGCGAAGTGTATTCATCCGAGGTGAAGAAAACTGAAGTGCTGATGGAAAACTTCAGACGGGCCATCGGTAAGTACGAACATTTCCTTAAAGCAACAGCTTTTGTGTGGCAACCTCACAGAGGTCAGTATGCAATGCATTCCACTTTTTAAAGAAAACACATTCACAGTACAGTCAATCCCCGATATATCGCACTCGAAGGGGATCCCGAAATAGTTTGATATATCAAGAATTTGAAATAATAAATAGGCATATTTAAGGCCTAAATTGAAGAATTTCGGGCCTCAGAAATCGTTACAAGAGCTAACATAACGATTCGCTCAAAAACAAGGTGCGAACCGCAGGTTACCCCACTTTATTTAGGCCACAAACTTGCCTTGCTTCTTGCACGCCGCCAACTTCCAGTCATCCTTAATATCATTGAAACTTTTCAAATGAGCGAACTTAGCTCCTTTGGCCACAACGTTCATTGATGCAGAACGCCGGCCGGTGCAAGCTTTCTAGCGGGGCAAAAGCTTGGTTAGTGGCATAAGCGAAGACGTTGACACATTCATAGCCGCACGGCTACACTTCCACGGCATCGGCAACGGCAGCCAAAAAAACTCAGCATCGATGCAGTCAGAAACGTCTTCATCTGTACTGATTAAGTCGCTACCGTCTGAGATGGTGCCCGGAAACGCTGATAAGTCGCAGAATTAACTGAGGCATCGTACGCCGTTGTCAGCGGTCATGATGCACCCGAAGTCGCGGTCATGATGCACCCGAAGTCGTCACCTGGCCTGCAAGGAACGTTTACGACAGTGTTTTACTTGACGTCGCTCAAAGCGCCAGTCATAATTTTTATCACTACCTGCGGGTCACTGTTCAGTTCAACTCCCGAATGAGGAACGAGGTGATGTAGGGGGCCTGCCCAGAGGATCGGAGCCAGCCACCAAAGTCTCTGGGAGATGTCGAGGAGAGGAGCCCGGAGCTGTTAACAGTAACGTTTAATTACATTATTTACAGGTAGCGTGTTGCTACATGATGGGGTTGGCATCATGGAAGCCTTCGAGCTTCTGTGAGCTTGTGAGAGCTTGTCAGGAGCACCTCGGCGCTCGCGTTTTATGTCCTGGCCTTCCCAGGATTCGCTGCAGGAAAAAAACAATGGGGGCCAGGACAGTCCAATGAAGTTTGTCATCTTCACCTCCACCCCCGAAAGGGGAAGGTGAAACGCCACCTCTTTCCGAACCTACGAAAGGGGGAAGAGGCACGCTTAGTTCAGCCCATGGCGAGGGAGAAAACACTGCGCACAGGACAACACGAAGACTTTGAGTCTGTTGACGTCAATTTCGTAGTCTGTTGCAGTGATAGGTATGCGGCGCCAGGCAGACCACAAATTGTGGAAACAGCGGCATCAAGGCACCATGGAGAACGTAAAAAATGCATCCGCAGACGATTCTCAGACGCTGGGCCTTTTGCCCGGGGGCACCTTGACGACAATGCAAGCCCCCTCGACAGCCAACAACTCTTCCTACGGTCGAAACCCGCAATAGCGAAACCCCGCGAGTACGAAATCCCCGCGGCAACGAAATATTTCCGGATCCCCGGCGAACGATCATAGAAGTCCATGTATTATGTATCTCGCGGCAACGAAATGTTTTTGGACAGTGATCCCGCATTAACGAATTTTCTACCACGGTGTGGGCCTTATTTTACCCTCCCGTCAAAGGTTAGCTGTCGAAAATATGCTCTTATGCGTGTTATGCGCACTCAAAATTTGTAAACATCTGCTTTTGCTGCACTAGCATGGGTACCGCCGTTTTTGTTCACTTAGATCGGGGATGGTGTCTGTGTCAGGCAACATGCCTGGCCACGCTGCAGCAGGCGATGGCAAATGATCATGCTGCGATGGCAAATGATCACGCGGACTTCACCACCACCATGCAAGCATCACGCACGGATTGCACTTCGGCCTCACCAGACGAAGATTTGGACAAAGGCGCACTTGACGGCGAGAGTGGTGGCAGTGCAGTGCCTCTATCCCTGATAAACGTTTGGGGGGGAACTTCGAGCCATTGACATAGTCATCCTAGATGAACTGACCGTTGATGCGTTCGTTCGCACCGATGATGACGTAGTCATGTACGAGGAAGTGACCGACGAGGCCGTTATCGAAAGCGTGCGCGAAGCTGACGACACCGAGGACCAAGAAGAGACGCACGTGGAGAAACCCAACCCGTGGGTTGTTTTGGATGCGCTGGATACCCTTCGCTCCTTCTCCGGCGCACATGACGACGACGTAGCAATGGACCACTTTTTCCAGTTCGAAGGGAGAGCTTTGAAGTTGTTGCATGGCAAGGGTCGGCAAAGTAAGTTGACCGACTTCTGGCAATAAATTATTGTTCTGCTGGCCATATCACTGTTTTTATGTCTCACACTCGCGGCAAAGAAATTCTCGCGAAAACAAAATTTTTGGTTTCCCCGGCGATTTCGTTATTGCGGGTTTCGACTGTAATCCGTCAGTCCGTCAGGCATGTCCAAAGGGTTTTACGAGGGCGCCGACAACCTGGGATAACCAGAAGAAGGATTTCTCTGCTGTCGCCACTCTTGGTGCATCTCTGGGAGCGCTGACTTGGAAGAAATCAGGGTAGGCTCAGCAACAATGTCTGATGCGTCAAAGCGGCGTCAAGCCAGGCAGGCCGATAATAACAGCGTGTTCACCGCCACAGAAGGTCTCTAAGGGGTTGCAGCACCAAAGCACTCCGCAGAGACCATAGATCTGCTCCCTTGTAGACGTTGACGCAGGCTGTACCAATCTCTGTACTTGAGCCATGGCCAGCAAACACCAGATACAAACCACGCAAGACCCGAGGCCCAACAAACAGAGAGCACTCAACAGACCTCGAGTAATGCCAGGTTACAGTTGTGGTAAAACTCCTTAAAAAATTCTATTGGTGCGCTCACTCGTGAAAATCAAGAATTACATAACTAAGCCATAGCAAACTCAGACCTACTACGTGCGAAGCAAATCAACAGCCTAACGTTTTGTTTCATTTCCTAGTGAGATTCACAGCGTTTCAGGCACGCAGGTGCTACGGGGGAAACAAAAACGAAAGGAAGGAATTAATCGAAAACGCTTCTCACGGCATAAGTAAATCTCATAATCAAACTCGCATGTATATTATAAAACGGGGAAACAAAAAACCTACACTACACTGGTGTGCATACCAACAAGTATGCTGCAAAATACACAAGGTTTATACAGAGGCTTTTACATTCAGCCTAAATCTCCTATTAAAATCAACTTGCACGTCAGGCATAAAATAAACAGAGAAAGAAAAACATATACTACATTGCAAAAACAGGTTTATACAGAGGCTTTTAGTCAGCCTTCTTCTCTGTTTAACTCAGTGCAAAAGCCCTCTTCCTGAGCGCAAGTATTTGCTAAATGTAAGCAAACCAATAAATCTCGCATTATCTGCTGTTAAGATGAGGAGGAAAATAAAACTTTCGAAAATTGACATACTCCTTGTTCATCGGCAGACATACAACCATTAAAAGTAAAACAATTCAAAACTGGATACAAGAGAAATCCTTGGCATCCTTACACTGTCCGAAACATGGGGAACCCTTTGAGATGGACTCAGGGCGGACACGCATACGACAGCTGTCGATAAGCCAGATCCCTACGGAGGGACATATAGCCAGCCAGTCCGAAACTACCGAAGCACTCAGTGGCGGCGACCTTTGTTTCGCGGCCCCCTAACTCGGACAAAGAGGCATACGAACGCTTTAGATTCCTTGTTGTAGGCCTCCGAGAAAAGTGGTCACTTTTTCACGAAGGTGGGGGACGGCTTCTGTCGTTAGAGCTGCGTATGCCCCACCTCGCTTCGCTCCTACAGATAGTCAGCACAACATATGATGAAACCGGGCGACCACTTTGGCGTCTCAATTTCCTTGCCTGCTTGACACGCTTCATGCCAAATCTCGCTTTCAGGGGGACCGTCAACTTTTGACTTGCAGCCCGCTTTCTCAGGATTTCTAGCCTCCGCTCGAGGCAACTTCAACCCTTTGCGTTCCTTCTACGTTTTCGCCGGCGCCTTTTTTCGGGGCGGCACTGAACGCTCACTGACCCGGCAGTAATACTCGGAAGTACACTGCTCAAAACTCCAGGCGGCTCGACTGGTTTATCCTCGGCGTTATTTCTAGCTGTGTGCTGTTTGCACTTTCGAAAGAACGCTACAATTGACACTTGCTAAAGCAGACGGCTCGCCATCAGATGTCTCTCCTTGATGAGAGTCATCACCTCGCGCTAATCTAAGCACTTTATCACCTCGCGCTATGTTAAACACCTCTCCCTCTCGTGATAAGCTAGGCGCTTCATCATCTAGACTATTACAGTCTACTTTCCACGAATTCACGCTTTCTGCTGCCTGAATCTCAGGAGCCGACTCAGAGGCCATCGGGTGCGTCAGAGCTGTCGCTGATTCCTCACCAAAACAAAGGCCTCTCAAAAGCATATCCTCGTCATTCTGAGAAGGATAATGCCTAGGCAGGTTTTGGGACACCACAGTTTCCGTTCCGAGCAGTCTGTACGGTCCCTCACTCTCAAATCGGGCTAATGGCAAGCACACACTTTTATTTTCAAGTACTTGCCGTGCACACTCGCGTTCTCCAGTGGCCACCTCATTTTTCACGGAGTAGGGATCAACATCATTGAGTGCTGTGGCTGAGTCCCGCGGTACGTTTTCCTGAACTAATTCTTGAATATGGGGTTTCAATTGCTCCCGCTTACTGTCGCTGCTGTCCACCATAAAGAGAACACTCTTAGGCTTACGGCAGCCAATCGCTATGTGACGAGGCTCTTTGAAACGGTGGCATACGACCGGGCTCTCTAGCCTTAAGCATCTCCCGTTTATAGGGATGTTCTGAGCGGCTCACTGTAGATGTTGACTTGGCAGGACTGCATTTTCTTGTTGGAGGATGCTATCCCATTAATCAGGTTGTTTGAGGCCTGATAAATTGCTAAAGCCAATCGTAGTTTCTCGTTTATCCTGTCTTCTTCAGCCCATCTTTAGTTCTTTTCAACC